AAAAAAAAAAAAAAAAAAAAAAAAAAAAAAAAAAAAAAAAAAAGCATAAGCCAGTAACTGCCTTGGAAACTTGGGATGAGGAGGAAATAGGCTTTGATCTTTCAAGTTACAAAATGGTCAAAAATTGGTGTTCTTTGAGTTAGACTGAGGCTCTTGAATTGCACAGGCTGAACCTGGCAGTTGTTGCAGAGGAATTAAAAATGCTCCAGGGCAAGGGAGTTCACTGGTCACAGGAGACCCGGCTCCTCTGTGGATGTGGTGCTTAGCCTGGGTTTTGTGTGCTGTAAGGCATCAAGAAATGGTGCACAAAGTGTCTGTGGTTAAAAAACAACACCCAGGCAGCCGGTACACAGCTGGTGTGGGTTAGCAAGTGCATCCCCAGGCTCCTTTCTGTGTCTACATGAAATATTCCTAAAGACAAAATTATGGTTTGTGGAAATAATAATAAAAACAAATGTTGTGATTGGCATTTTGGTGAATGATGTTATTCCTGTGAGACGCACGTGGGGAGATCAGCCCATCTGATCCCCTGAAATGGGAGAAGCTGGGGAGATGTCCAAACCAAAACTACCCTGCCTGCCGCTTGCTCTGGAAAGGGTGTAATCTGGGTGGAAACACCTGCTAGGTAAACAGGGCTCCCCCACAGGTAACACTGGGGCCGGAGCACCCCATGGGTCTCTCCACAGGGGAGAGCAGGGGCTGGGGCAATCCCATGTGCAGTGTCCCTGGAGCAGGGCTGCTGGGCATGGCTGGATGCTGAGCTGCTGCCCAGACATCTCCCCTGCCCCTGCCAAAAATGGCCAGTTCCTGCATTTAGTCAATTTTGCAGGACCTCTCTGGGCAGAAAATTCCTGAGCTGAATATATTCTTGATGCACTACAGCTTTTCAGAGCAATCACAGGGTGTGTGCTTCAGGGCAAGCTGTGCTTTTCATGTGATGCTCTGGTTGTACAAATGTCCCTGCCCTTGGTCACCTTGGCAGGAGCTAGAGCAGGGAAAATCGGCTCCTGTGTATTGAGTTCCAAATGGTGAATAAGGAAGTGGCACCTGATTAAAATCCAGAATGAACTGAGAGCCCAGGAAGGCATCAGATGCAGGTTTGGTACCCAGACACGTGGTGCCCCCTGCCTGGGGTGCGAGCCCTGCTCCTCCCCACATCCCTACCATGTCTCCTATGGGTTTTTGGGGGATGACCCTGTCTATGCTGCCCGTGGGCTGCCCACCTCCCTTGCTTGCATGTGGGATTGCCCTCTGGGGTGAACCACAGACTGTCCAGGAACAGAGAGGGGAGCTGGACCTCTGCAAACCATGAGACCACGCCACATCCCAGCAGGAGAAATGAGGAAAGGGACCAACACAGCGATACATGGACACGCCTCAGAGGTGAAACTTTATGGAACCAACAGTGCCTCAAAAACCATGCAGCAAATGCCCCAAAAACAATGCCCCCGCATTGTGCCCAGCTGGATGCTCAGCGCTGCCCGGTCCCTTGTGGGGAAGGGCAGTGGGAATGCAGTCTGGTTTTTATCCTAACTAAACTGTGAGCAGGAGATGGGGCACCATTGGGTGGAAGCTGAAACTTCTGAGGCTCTGCATGGCTGGCCAAGGGAAAGCCTGGGATGCTCAGATCCCCACGACAATTTTTTCTGAACCTCTTTTGGTTTGGAAATTGTGCTGAAAATCCTAAGCTGAAGCCTCCCATTCATCCAAACTGATTTACTGGCTCTGCTTTTGATTTGAGGATAAGTGTAGGATGTGAAAAGTAAGGTTGACTAGTCCACCGCAACCCATTCTTGTGGTATTTTTCCCCAGGCAGAGCGTAGAATATTCCTACAGCCACTCCAAGTGGTGGGTTGGGATATCTTGCTGCAGAGATGCTCACAAGACATCTCCCGGATGCATGGGAGTTTAACTTGCAGTCTGACACCACTGTGTTGGCATAGGATGCCAATCCTATAAATGCAGCGTACAAGTGCAACATCTGAAGGCAATGTGTAACCATGGGGTCAGGGAAAAAAAAAACTGATTTTTTTTTTATTGGTTTTTTTTTTTTTTTCAGGACATTGTCAGATGTTTGAGGTCTGTTTCTTGGGCTGCTGGGGAGATCGTCCACTGGGCAGACTGACGTAATTAAGAGGAACTTAATAGGAGTGACAGTGAATATTGTTATTTTTAATTAAGAGGCTGCTTTTCCAGCACAGTAGCATTAAGGTGTAGTGGAGGAGAGCCACAGCTGGACAGACAGACTTGTTCCCAAGCTGTAAATCAAGCTCTGCAGCTCTGACTTAGAGCTTGGCCTTGCGCTGTTGTGGTCTCCGGCATAAGGCTGAGGACTTGGGCTGCCCTCCTGGTTCTGCTCCTTGCTGGTGGAGTCAGTGCTACGCAGTGCAAAGCCCTGGATTGCCTCCTCCAAGGCTTTGGCTGCCAGTTGGAGGTTTTGCCCTGTTTGCTCAGGACCTGCCCTAGAAGAGTCATGTTTTGTCGAGCCGCTGGGACCCCCTGTTGCAGCCCATCCTGCTCCACAGCAATGGCAGCATGTAGCACCCAAGAGCTTGTGCACAGAGGTGGCCAGGGGCTCTCACAGCCAGCAGCATCCCAGCCTGCCTGCTCCCCTGGGGCAGAAGCGGCCCCTGAGCCCAGGAGGTGAATGCCCTGCTGTCCTCAGCAAAGGCAGCTGGAGAACAATGCCTGGAGGGGACAAGGAGGCTCAGTTTTGGGTGCCCTCCAGCCTGTGCTGCAGGGCATTTCCCTGCCAAGAGCGAGTGGGCTGGTGGGTCTGGGAGTGCTTCTGGGCAAACTGTTTCTTGTAGAGAGCGCTGCTGTACTGCAACTCCGGGGTCACCAGCCGCCGGCACATGCGCTCTGTCTCCTTATCCAAGCCCTGTTTGAGATTATAGCCCAAGATCTTTGCATTGCCATGCTGCAGTGGTCGCAGGGAAGAGTCCTTGATGTCCTTTGGGGCCACGCTGCCCATCCCTTGCAGGCAGGTCCTTGCCAGCTTTGCCTGCCTCTCCCGAAGTGCCTTTACTTCCCGCTGCATGCGGTCCCTGCCGATGTCTCGGTCAATCCTTTCCCAGAAGGTCCTGTTGAAGTGGGTGTAGATTTCCCAGTCCAGCCTGTTCCAGTCCTTTATCTTCTCCACGATGGTGTCCGAGAGAGGGGACTTGGTGCTGCTGTCCCTGATGTTGAGTGGAAAGGAAACAACGTTGTCCAGGTCCCAGCACAGCATCTCCTTCAGCAGCACCATGGACTCATCGAAGTACTCAGAGATGAGGAGCAGGTCAAAGGACGCCTCGATGGCCTTCAGCATGAGTTGCACCCGCTCATCTGAGACCTCTCCGTCGGGGTTGAAGCCAAAGTCAAATGTCATGAGGTTCCTGGCGTAGTGGCTGTTGCTGTCTGCAGGGTTGTAGTAGTGGTAGGGCTGGCTGAGGAACTCCTCCAGGCTACGGGCGCGGGAGAAAGCCGACGTGCCCTTGTAGTACATGAAAGAGGACTCCATGAGCTGTACAGGGTTCCTCAGGATAGAGAAGTAGATGGCTGAGCTGGACACCACTTTCTGCACCTGCGGAGGAGAAAAAGGAGGTTTTAAAGGTGGGGTAGGGAGAAGGGATCTGCTTGCTCACAGTCCTGTGCTCTGCTGGAAAGCAGAAATGCTCGCTGGGGTTGGAGGTGGTGGGTGCTGGGGAGGGTTTCAGGGTGCAGCTCATCAAAGGAGCATTTGTGTCAGCTGTGGGGAGCCCCAGATGTGGTACATGGGGAGAGCAGTGACCAAAGCTCCCCACTATATGCTGCCACAGCTGGGTGGCCTGTCTGGGCTTAAGATACATCCTATCTCCTTGCCTTTCCCCAGATTTGCGTGTTCTCAAGTGACATCCAGAAGGGTGAATGCTGGTCATGGCTGGCTGGAGCTGATGCGCTTAAGGTGTTCTCCTCTTGCAGCTGGTACCCTCTGAGCCTGTCCAGGGAGCAAGACATCTCCAAAGACCCAAACAAGAATGAGATGATACTTGCTGACTGCTACAGACGCTGTCCTCTGGCTTGTCTCAGGTCACAGCACAATGATTCATCAAACCTGTTTACAGAAGCTCTCAGGAGATGCCCATAACATGCAAGGTACCTGGGGGCAAGCCTATCTCTCTTCACCTTCATCCCTGAAGGGTTTATGTGCTCTATGGGTGTCCCACATTGCTCCCCACAAGCCCCTCTTTCCCTCCCCTGTTCGCTCCTCCCAAGGCATTGCGGCTTTGCCCATACCTCTGGCTGCAAGAATCGCATGTGGTGGCAGAGGATGTTGAACCGCCGAGGGCTCCTGGGGGAGAAGCCCTTTACAAACCTTGCCAAGAAGTGGTGTGGGTAGAAGAGCTGGTTGCCACCCCCAATGGGGAAGGCGAAGGTGAGGTTGTGTGTCTCACCGAAGCGGAAGAGGACGTTCATGACGGTGCTGCTGGCACTTTTGTGGACTTTTAGGAAAACAATGTCAGTCTTGGGCTCACACGTCTCCCCTTGAGAAGAGACCCCTCTGCCCTGCTGGCCTTCTCT